AGCGCGCCTGTAGCGCGCGCCGCGGCGCCAGGAAGTCTCGGGCTCGCAGGTGGCGGGCGCGCGTCTCCTTGAACCACACTGGACCGCCGGGTCCCAGCGCCGCGTTGAGGGCCCCCAGAGTCTCCTCCACCCCGAGGCGCCCCGTCGCCATGGGGACCGGAAGGCGCTGGCGGAACCGGAAGCAACATGTTGGGAGGCCGAACCTCGGGGAGGAGCGACTGAGGGGCGGGGATCCGGGACGCGAGCGGGCAGGTGCACCGGAGCGGAACTGTGGCGGCCGCTTGCGATCGACGGCCGCACCGGGGCCCACCTGCCCTGCTTGGTCCTGGGTCCGAAATCTCAGGGTTGCCCTGGGCCTAGGGTTCTTTCGCCAGTCACCCCCGTTAACAACCAGGAAAAGGATCCTCGCGACCGGTGGCAGTTCCTTCCCCATCGAAGTCTCACATCTCTATTTGTGATAACGTTTTATTTCTCATTTTACGCAGGAACAAAACGTGAAAAGCTACAAACGAATTGTCACTGGGATAGGGCAGCTTACATTGTCACCACGACCTACTAAAGATAATCTCCTTTTAAAAAGAATGTGTGTTCTGCGGTTTCAGGTTATTTGCATTTCCTCCTTTGAGATGTGGGTCCTCTTTACTCCCCATGAATGCCCGCTGATAGAATGACCGATTTTCTCCTCTTGATTCTGGAGGAATTAGAACCATGTGACGGTTTCCAGAGCTGCCGGGTGCGAACGCGTCCCCTCTAACCTGGTGCACTTTGCCAGGGATCCTCCGGCTTCCCGGAGCAGGCTCAGCGGGGGCACCCGCCTCCTCGGCCCAAGAGAAAGTTCTTTCCTATCCCATGATGGCACCCGAATGTTTTCATTTCAACACAACTTAAATCCCCTTTTCCTCTTCAGTGAAATTGAAACTGACGCAGCACAGAGCGCTGGGAAAACCTTGATCTCTGCCCTGGAGCAGTGAGTGCCCAGAACTCAGGAGGGGACCCTGGGGACAGAAAAAGCCTGGCAAAGCCCCTCTCTCAGCCAGGGCTTCAAGGCCCTTCTGGGAGGAGCCGAAAGAGCACTGGGCGGACACGACATTCCCGATGGCTTCTTGGGTGCCCACTCAACGGGAGTGATCGTGTCATTCCAAAGCACTTTCCTTGTCGCCGGCGTGAGCCTCCGGGACAGCTGCTCTCAGGGTTGGGGCTGGAGACCCAGCTGGGGATTTCACACACTCTCGGTGCACGGAGACGGTTGGGGTGGTTTTCCCCCAGGAAGTGAAGGGCTATCTTTAGCGAGTTGCGGGCTGGGGCGGCCCTGTGGGACTCACCGCCAGTGCAGCCCTATCGGGAGGCCCCGGGTCTGCCCTCCCTGCCTCCCCAATGCTCCCCCGGGTTCCCGAGATGGCCACCGCCCAGGCTACCCGACGTCTACCCCCGTGACTTCCAACCTGAGGGGGCACCTGAGAAACGGACGGAGACCAGAACGACCCAATGAAGTGTGTCTGGGGTGAAGGGCTCGCCCACCCCTCTGGACCAGGACGCTGCTCAGGCAGGAGAGCAGGGAACGAAATCCAAGCGCAGCTGGAATGCTCTGGAGACAACAGCTGCTTTTGGGATTCCGTTGCCCGCTGTCCAGCCGTGGGAGGGGTCCCTTGCCCTGGGGCCAGAATAGAACCCCCCTATTTCCAGTCCCAGGAGGCGGACCTAGGAGTAAGCGGTGAAATCGGGTCTAGTGGGAATGAGGAGCTCACCTGGGCCCCAAAACATTAGGAGGGGCGGTGGGGGCCTCCCCTGGGAACGAGTCCCGAACCGGATCACACTCGCGGGGTAGGGTGAGTCCTGCTGGTCCCATGCAGCCAGGACCACCGGCGAGGTGGAAGTGTCGGGGCGGGCTTCGGAACCAGCCGAGAAGGAAGCGCTCCCGTGGGCCGGGGAGGAAGTAAACCCGCGCGCCGGCCTTGGGGACACCCCCGCACCTGGGGCCCTTTGTCCGGAGACGCTACCAGCACCCGGAGCTCTAGGGGCCCCGTGGGCTCGCAGGGCGGCGACAAGACCCCCAGGAATCCATTGAGGCCGTCCCCGTCTGTACCGAGCCTGCCTCCCGCCCGCCGGGCCCCGCGGAGAGCAGACGCAGCAACATTCCCCCGAGGCCACGGCACGGTGGC